TAACAAAAAAGGGAGAGAGGAATTCCGATAGATGGGTCGTTTGTGATGAGGAGTTATTGTGCTGCTTCCAGAATGAGTCTCATCGACTACAGGACTCTCTGTTTTGTGAAACTACTCATTGACCCCCGCAATGGAGCGACGGATTATCAGGCCACGGATATGGAACTTTTCAGGAGTTAGTAGGGACACAAAGATCTAAAACCATGCTTGTTTGGATACCTCGCTCTACTTGCACAAAACTCTCCTACAGCAATCAAATTGCCCAGCTAAGCGAACAAGCCAACGATCACTCCCACGGGTGTCACAGGAATGCGTTCCATCTGTCACAGCAGCGATCTAAATCTATGGTTTCATCGGGGCATGAGCATTTATAATACAGATGTGTGGGTGACTGAATGCTGTCGATTTGTCCTGTTTACCACGGTAACCGAGACTGAGTATTTCGATAGCCATTGGTTCTTCCTCTACCATTGTTTTTGAACACAACATATGCGGATTATGACTAATGTCTCATAGATGCAGAAAGCTGGTTAGTTTACGTGACAAATCTACCATGCTGAGCCATCCGAAAACCACAGGTGCACGCTTAAATTTGTGGAAACCATCGCCTCACATTGGAACACCATTGACAAAGTGGCCGAGGTCCTGTTCCATGTTATTGGAATCATTGAACCATTACCGATTTCTCAGAGTATGTACGCAGCCTTATTCCGAAAGTGAAATTATGATTGCCACTGGGCCCGGACACGTGGCACGTCTTGGAGATTTTTCAACCACGTGCAAAGGAATCACGTAGGTCACAACCATGGCTGGTATCCACGGCCCCTCTTCTGAGCTGTAGTGGCTTTTATTTTAAGCTGGAATGTTATGGCCTCCAGAAAAAGTTTTCCTGCTCGAATTTGGAATAGAAAACGGGGCTTTTTTCCGTAAACGGTGACAGGGTACTCCTATTACACGTTAAAAACATCTTAGCTCATTCTGTACTCCTGGAAATCCACTTTGTTAATTACATGATCAATTAGGCTCCACTGAGAATGAGATATATCCTAGCTTGGTATTGATATAGGCTGATTTCATTCAGGATCAACTCGATGGTGACCGTGTGTGTCTTGGTGTATCCCTAGAAAACATTTCCGGTGCATTTTTGTCTGTTTGATTAAATAATCTTATTTGAACACGAATTGTCGATTCAATCAATTTTCCAGATTCGTTTCTAAAACAAAGGAAATCAGTCTGGAATAATGGCCGAAGAGAGTGAATTGGCGCAGTTATTTGATGCCTCAGCCGGTAGAAATCAATGGCAACATCCATTTGTTCTCCCAAAGTGAAGGTGTAAACCTTGAGGACAGTGCTCATATTGTGACGTCGTTTCCTCATATTTCAAAAAGTTCGCATTGACATCTAAAGAAACGAAATCTCGAAAAGTAATCCTCTGGTCGGAATTCACTTCTATTTCTTAGGCGATACAGCATCCTACAAATATAAGATGCACTAAACGGGGGATTATCGTGCACCTTATTTCCTGCTTGTCTGTTTAGTTTTTAGTAGAATTTAACAAATAATACCACTTTAAAACCGCCTAATCTGCTAATTTTGCTTCAAGGGGTCGCTTGGAGCGTCAAAATCTCTGAGTGGTCTGATCAGTTGCTCTATGTTCTCGATGTGGTTCGGCCCCGAAGCGAACGCTATAGAAATGAAGCGCTGGATGTACGCGTTCTTCACACCAGGGTGCCTCTTAAGCATGTTTAACACTGGGATTCTATCGGAGCGGTTTTTCAGAATATTTCTTAAAGTTGGTAGGATAAATCAGGCGGTCTGAGCTGGGAGCCAAACACCATACCCCACAAATGACAGCTTGGCATACCAACCGGTGTGGCTCGCCTCATCAATGATTTTTTGTTACTTATTCATCCACGGCCGTGCAAACATGTCGGGTGGTTCCAAATAAACGAATAAGCGGCCGTTGTAATATCTGGATCCTTCAGTGCAAAAAAGCTGGTTAGATTTTGTAGATACCACCGAATCCTAATCGATAAACATTTGTGGTAGCTGCCATTCATCTGACAACTCCATCCGAATTAAGAATGTTGCACCAGTATAATCTCCATTAACTCAATAATGAGCATATGCAGAACGTTCTCAAGGCATTGTGAACGTCATTGCTGACTCATTTTTGAAAGACAAATGCTGTTTTGAAAGCGTCCTCTGGCATTGCCATTTACCGCTTTTGCCCACAGATTTCGGAAGGCTATCGACGTAAATATGTTCCCCTTAACATGCGGTTTTTGGCACTGTATAGCCCCGTCTGTCAGATGATTCGGTTGTCTTATGAGCAGTGCAGTAAGCAACAGTAACAAAAAAGGGAGAGAGGAATTCCGATAGATGGGTCGTTTGTGATGAGGAGTTATTGTGCTGCTTCCAGAATGAGTCTCATCGACTACAGGACTCTCTGTTTTGTGAAACTACTCATTGACCCCCGCAATGGAGCGACGGATTATCAGGCCACGGATATGGAACTTTTCAGGAGTTAGTAGGGACACAAAGATCTAAAACCATGCTTGTTTGGATACCTCGCTCTACTTGCACAAAACTCTCCTACAGCAATCAAATTGCCCAGCTAAGCGAACAAGCCAACGATCACTCCCACGGGTGTCACAGGAATGCGTTCCATCTGTCACAGCAGCGATCTAAATCTATGGTTTCATCGGGGCATGAGCATTTATAATACAGATGTGTGGGTGACTGAATGCTGTCGATTTGTCCTGTTTACCACGGTAACCGAGACTGAGTATTTCGATAGCCATTGGTTCTTCCTCTACCATTGTTTTTGAACACAACATATGCGGATTATGACTAATGTCTCATAGATGCAGAAAGCTGGTTAGTTTACGTGACAAATCTACCATGCTGAGCCATCCGAAAACCACAGGTGCACGCTCAAATTTGTGGAAACCATCGCCTCACATTGGAACACCATTGACAAAGTGGCCGAGGTCCTGTTCCATGTTATTGGAATCATTGAACCATTACCGATTTCTCAGAGTATGTACGCAGCCTTATTCCATCGCTACGGAAACCTCGCGGCACAAGTCAGTAAACAAAAAGTAAGATGCGTAGATACTAGCTCTTGAGAAATCAACAGTTGCTTGGATCCCAACTAACGTAGTTGGATAAATTCATCTTCGGAAAGATTTTGGTATAGACGGCTAGGTTCATACCCAATCTCAGCTTCTAATACGATTCTGTACTCCATTTCGTTGTGGCTACAGATCACTATTTTTGCAAGCCATTGTTAATCCTACCTTTCTTGTTTTTATTACCTAGGTGGTTTCCTCAGAGTTTCTCACGGTATTTCTCTAACAAAACCCTACAAATAACATGAACCGCACAGATTTTTGATTGTATTCTCAGTCAATCGCCTGAAAACTAGTGGATATTCGGAATGCATTGTCTGCTTAATTAGCAATCCTCTCGGGGTATACTCAGAGGGCGTTATTTAATTCAGTTTTTCATCAACTGGACATATACCAAACTCAGAAACCGGTTATATGGTGTGAGCTCGATATACTCAGCCAACGACATGATATCGAATGTTATATTCCAACGAATCATCGAAGTTCAGTGTATTATTACCTGCATTATCACCATGTCTTAGCAACAGATTACTAGTTTTTAAGATAGCTTTAAACCCTTTACTGACCCATGTAGTCCAAACACTTTGTTTCCAACAAGGAATTTCATGTATTGGGGGAGTGATATCTGAGGATATTATTGGCATCCCTCAGGAGTGAACCTTCTCCAAATCTCTCGCCCCATCAAATATACTACTCATCGGGGTCTATCAAATCAGGATCGTTCTCTACATCGACCCCCATTCATACAAAAAAATTTTTTCTATCACTACATTCTACCGTCTATGAGTAGACAGTAATAAAAGGTGAAAATTTGCCTTCTGGATACTCAGATTTGCTCTCGGATGGAGTTAAGTGAGGTTGATGAAGCTAGAGATCTAGTAAAATGCTGTACTATTCTTCCACGTCTTCCAGAAATTAATTTGATGTTTTTCGTTTTATCGGTTCGGCATGGTGGTAAGTGACCCACGTGGTGTCCTCAAGGGGCTTAAATGAGGTTGATAATTCCTGTGGACCTGCTGGTTACTCGTCTGATGGTCATGAGAACAGAGAACAGTTATTCGCTGAACGCTCGTTACTTCCGGCTGGTGGGACACTAGGACGCAACGCGTGTGGGTTGATTGAGTTTAGCCAGTTATTCTTTTCTTCATACATGGTTACCGCCAAAGTGCACGGAATTTGTAATATTTTACGATAAGGTTATCAAGCCTACTAGACCTTGGCTGTGGATGATGTCAACTGCTTACATGCTATTAAATTGGAACGCTTTGATCGTGAAAGTTTTCTCTTTGGGTCAAATAAGCCTAAACATCAGCTCTTTTGATGCCAATCCTATTTTATGCAGCAGCGCCCTCGATGAGTGTTCTATCGCTTGAAATACACAACAAACCAGGGACGCAGTAGTTTGGTAAGCTTCTTTCAACTGTCTAATATCTAGAAGATCTTCACTTGGGAGACACTATTGTACACTGCATATTTCATTCAGACGCACTCAACATCTGAAATATCGTTGTCGAAGCTTTTCTGGATTAGTCTATTTTACTGCATCCAACTTAATGGACTGTACATAGTGAACTCCTGTAGAAAGAAATAAAATCAACACAAACGTTTCAAGAACAGTATGTTTTACCTCAGGCTGTGGAGGCTACAGAGAAAAACGTTTAAGCAATATGCTTGTCTTAAATACAAATTCCATTACACAGTAATAACACTGACTCAGGAGGTATTGAAGATTCACCACTTGATCGTGCGCAAAGTTTGGCTTGACTTGAAAAAGAAGACCGTACAAAAATTGATGAAAATAAACGCGAAGAGGACAAGGCCTACAGTCCTTGTACGTATGTGAATCTCCCCTTCGTCCGTACCAAGTTATTGACCTGAGTCTTCTTTTGAGACAAAGGCATACCGTGATCCCTGCTCATCAGGCACTCCAGGTGTGCTTGATTTCAACCTGTAAAAGTACATTTCAGTGTTGGTATTGCTAGCATGGATATTTTCTGTTTTGGATTTTCTGGGTGAAATGGAGTAATTCGCATTATCTAGTCCTCGATGATCTGACTGTTCAGTTGAATCCATTTCATGAATCCTGCTTGGAAAGCCAGAAATAGCTGTGGAGTCTATATGTTGTTTCCACAGTGTCACATAGTGAGACTGTTTATGGTTCCTGTAAGAGCCTGGTTGCGCTAAAAACATTTGGTCGGTTGGTCCATCGCCTCTCATTCTTTCAGCCATAAGTTTTTGAGCGTACATTTGCTGTTCCATATTTGGTTGATCCTCATAACCAGAAACATACCCGCCCGGAAAAGGAGCATCGTATTCATTTGGGTACATCGGGTGATCTACCTGCTGTTGGTATGCTGTTGGCATTCCTTGGCCGACTGGTATACCTGCAGATCTGCACTCCGTTCGACCGTTCTGACCATATGACTGGGAGAATCCAATAGGTGTTAAAGTAATATACCTTTCATTTCCTTCTCGCATCTCATCTGATGCTACAAAAGAGCTAGGATCCACACCTTGAAATATAATATGAATATTGGTTGGTGCAGCTGGTACACGATCGGTTTCAACAGCTTGATGTATTATCTGTGTCGTTTCCCTCGTGGAAACTGGTTCCTTTGGAATGGGTGTCCGTGGTAGAGTCACGCTACGGTTTTCTCTCGATAGCGTTTCTCCCAGTTCACTCTGTCTCGCCGGTTGTGATGTTTCTGGTTTGTTTACGTCACCTTCATTATTTTCTTCCACATAGTAACCAGAAGACCAATGACCAAACTGCACTGGCCTGACGTTTTTTTCATCATACATACTGGTGAGCATTTTGAATTTCTCCAGAGCTTCAAGAAGTTTGACGCGTTCCACAGCATCCTTTAATTTCAGCACAAGAACCCGACTCTTCTGTGTCTCTGGAGAAGCCACATCCACGCAGAGTTTCTTGGCCTGTTTTTCAAACGCATACAAGGCTCGAATTTGTGCATAGGGTAGGCGAGTTTCCTTCGAATTCGCCCACCAGATAGGGCGACTGGCTACAGCACAATTCTCCAACAGAGTGATTCGTACCGGATTTGAACTAAATCCAGAATGGGCGCGATTGCTCTTAAGCTTCAAGGCATTTAGAACCCGCTCTCCATCCACCGTTTCGTCCTTATCAAATTCCAACGCACTTTTGAGAACCACAATAAAGTTAGGAAATTTGAGAGGATGTTGTTTTTCGGACATTATCCAACAAAACGCGGGTACGTAGTACAACAGCCGTGCACAACTCTAGTTAGTGTAAGTTTGTATACGCTTTAATGTTGCGGATAGTAACACCAACCAATATGAGTAAGGCACTGTATGATTGGGCATGAGTGCGCTTTCCATTTGTGTGACCATTCTATTCCTTTGTAGATTTTGGGTCATCCGAGGTCAGTTATGGTTGTATATCGTTCCGGTAACCACTGGTATCAACATAACACAAGCAAAAGTAATCACGTAGCAGCTCCATAGCACTTCAAACTGAGATTCCAGGGGCAGCGTTGTTTTTCACGTGAATTTGCTGGAATGTGTGGACTGTGTTTCTTTCACCCTATATCAAGCGTAGAGTCCGACAGTGTTGATCGATTGAGCACTGCGTGGAATTATCCAACAATACCGTTTGTGTCTGTCTGTTCGTGTGCACGTCCATCTTGAAAGACAGGTTACTGACCAACAACTACGGCACAATCATCCAAGGAAGTATTCTTATGTGTTTGTTCTATCTGTTTCGTCAAGGTAATACAAGCATTTCCTGCCGTCCTGTCAGTTGCAGGTAGGATTTCAGACAAGCTACTAACCCGAAAAATGAGTAACATATCCTGTGCGCGCTAATTTTTTTTACTGGTGATAGAAACAGGCTATTGCTTCAGTCACTATCTCACTAACAATGAGAACCTGTCAAATGCGATGGCGAGGAAGTATGAAGTCCGGCCGCCTCAGGATCATCCAGCTAACAGGTTACTTGCTGAGGGGAAGCACTGGCTTAATCTAATTTTGTCAACCAGATGTGGGGCCAGTAAACTGACTAGCAAAGCCTTCTTTTCACCTGGTGGTGGAAAATGGGAGTTTCTCGCATATTCTTGAACGTGCTTGACCCCCATTCAGATATTTTACAACGGAATGTTGTGACGTTTGACTGTCCGATCACTCTTGCGGGTAGTTTGGTGCCTCTGAGTGAGTAGGCCTGAATTGAGCGGACAAAAGAGAAAGATATGGAAAAGCACCCCTTGTGTTTTCACGTTCCCTCAGCTTGAGGGGCAGCATTCATCAGTGACCCCAATAGGACTATCTGCGGGACCTGTTCAGTGTGGTTTCTTCTGGGTGTTACCGAAAAACTCCCTGTTTTTGATGATAGAGTTAATTTAATCCATTAGACTGATAGAAATATTTTGTGTTTGTTGGTAGTTTATATCATTTGAAATGTAGCTCTTTGACGACAGAGATAAGCATGGGACATTGTTGGGCAATTCTGACGAAATATTAGCAACTAAAGTACCACGCGAGCCATTTCTTTGTCCTAAAATCATTTGTTGGTTTGTATTTTTGAATAATGACACTTGGATTTATCATACCTTAAAGAGCACCGTCTATAGCAACCCCCTTACCAACCAAATATTGGCAGGTTGGTCTGTCCTTACACACTGCAATCAAGCGAAACCCCACAATAGGAAGATGAAATTTTACATTGAAGCTATGTGTACTGGTAAAACACGGTCATAGTAGAATACAGGATGAAGGCTACCTGATTAATTCGATATTTTGGTATCAATTCACGGGTGAATGAACAGAATGAGCGATCAGCTTTAAAGACAGAGTCGGTCTGATAAGTTACAGGTTATTGATTTAAGCCTGGATATGATCAAGCACGCTTTCAGCAAAATAACCCCACACGATATGGTAAGATTTAAATAGGCATCCGAAGACAGAACTATGAATTCCACCCTTGCCAGTGCAATTATAGAGCGCAAGAAATGAGGCGCAAATGATCTACGAAGTACTCTCTCACAGATAGGTACGAGCTTTCGATATCTTCTTTAGGAGTATCGGCTTTCGACCATTGCCATCAGTGGCTGGTGTTTTGGTGCCTTAACTTTGCCCTCAAGTTCTTGAGCAATGCTGAAAACATTGATTTTATGCGGTAGTAAGTGCGACTAAAATGTACGTACAGCTAAAAATCCATTCGATCATATGAACTTAGGTTACTAACCCTGGCCCTTATTTTATGTGTACTCATCAGCAACCTTGCAGGTCTTTCGATGATTCCTGTTGAAGGTGGTTAGATTCTTTGAACATTCTGAACTATAAAACCACTAAATTGACGCTTGCTTTATCGAGCTTCTAACCGTTTTCTTGTCTGCTAATGTGCAAAAACACTATCGTTCCTTATGAACTGGTTTTATGTGATTGTCTGGTCTAGTTCGAACATTCTTTTGTTCCACCCTCCGTACTGTAAAACTTCACTGCGCTAGTAATACTACCCGTATCATAAGTTATCGCACACATTTCGATGTGAACTCGAAAACAATGTGAACGGTTACAACTCATTCAGCTTCCGGATAGCACGATTGGTTTGTCTTGGTAGTGGATTTCCAGCAGTCACAGGAGCTTTCCAAATCCGCAAGAGTTGTTTTGCATCAACTACCTTCCGTTATTTTGTTCTCATTATCGGCAACAACTTTTGGTTTGAAGCAAATGTCAGGTGTCGTTAGAAGTCACTAATAGGAAAGCGAAAAGGACAAGATCATCCCTCAATAATGAGCCACTCTAAAGCAACAGTAATCGTGCAACAATGCAATTTTGAAAACTTTTTAACTAAGCTCTATTCTTGTTCCGTGGAACGTTTATTGCACATTATTTGTTGATCTATATGATGATTGCAGTTTCAAAATGGGGCACTGGAGCATGTTCGTGCAATGATAAATTTGGACAAGTCTGATCACTTCAAAAAATGCTCTAGTAACAGTTCAGCACTAGGAGTGTTCTAAAAATAAAAAATGGCTTGCTTTTCCCACATAGGTGACGTTTAGTGTACAGTAAAAAAAACAAATAAATGTTAATGTGCACAGCATATGGAAATTCCTACGTAGTGAAAGGCTTACATACTTCACTTCATCGGTCTCCTTGCCATATAGACATATCTCGATCCCTGCTGGTCGATTACACCTAATGCAGATTTTCGTGGACTGATGCAACTCACTGAAGTGGTCCAGTCAGACTGGGAGGCACCTTGTCTTACGTTAGTATCTCCCGGAAACCGCCCAGTGGGGAGTTCATCGTGCTCTTGAACAGGCAAGTGGAATGGAAGATCTGCGTCCTCATTGGTCGTCGAATCTTTGCTTTTCTCTTCCAACCTTGGTTGTGGTGTCGCCGGACGAATACTGTATGTATTCGTTTGGTGTTCAAGGCTACCACCGAGTTCATCGAATGAAACTTCGGGTAGATCGATCGTGAACTGTCTTTTTGAGTTAAGTCGCTTTAGTGCATCACGATCCTGAAAATAACTGCTGTGAAACAAAGGGCTCCTGGGAAATTCACCGTATTCTTCTTCGCAAACGCTAACCCGAGCAGAAAGCGGTAGAATGAGTCTAACAGGAAGAGAACTGGGAACAGCGATTTTGGATGGACTTTGTATGAATGATTTTGAGGTTGAATCGGAAGCCTGTACGCAGGAATCAGTTGACTTTCGTCTAACGTTTGCAGTCGGTATGGAACACTCTTGCTCTATTTGTTGGTGACTGTTTCTCAACACATCATCAACCAGTTTCTCAGCCACAGAAAGGATTTCCGTTCTAGGCAGAGAACATCTGGGTTGTCGTTTTAGGAGATCTCGTTTAGCTCCATTGGAATCTGCTTTCTCCTCTGTCTCCAGCGAAGCCTTACGCATGCGTCCAGCTACAGTTGACTTGTCGGCGGTTCGGTAACTAGGCCTCCAGTTAGGGGATCCAAGGAAGCGTACATTTCCATAGTCGTATAATTTTGAAGTTTCGATATGTTGTTGAAAGTGACAGAGAATTCTTTTGCAGTCATCCATGCTTGTGGTTTTGAACAGAAACACTCTACGTTTGGCGGTAGAAGGGTGAATTATGTCAATCGCAACACGTTTCGGATCGTTATTGAATACAAGGACATTGTGCACGTGGCTGTATGGAAGATGATGTTGATCTTCCTTGGGCCACCAGGTGAGTCTGTCCATTGACACCAAATTAGGTTCAAAAGTTAGCTTCACTACCAAAACTGGACTAAGGAAGGAATGTCGTCTTGAGTAGATTGCCAGTTTCTCATCCAGCGTTTGTGCAGTCAGTTCTTCCGCGTAGTCCAACTCCAGCACTCGCAAGCATGTAACAAAGAACGTTTTTTTCAGAAGATTACTATCCATGTTGCTTGAAGCATTCGATGAACTCAGAACAGCTAAGCTGGGCTAATTTACGATGCACACTTTGCGCGTCCTGTTGGCCGTCTCAGACATGGTTGAATAAATGGAAAGCAACTTTGGATTGGTGATTCTACGGAACAAGGTTAAAACACACCAACTAGTAAGACGAATAAGCAAATGAGAATATCGTTGCTCTCTTCGGTAGGCCGAGATGGGCGTCCTTGTTAAGCTTCGTAGAAACAAAAGTGCATAATCTTAAGTTTTCACAATACTTTTGGAGATGAACTTCTGAAAGGATCCTGGTGAAATACCTAGTGCAGTCTTGAAACGACGATCGACTGGATGTCCTTAGTTTTCTCACGATCGGGAAAAGGGCAGTACAGTCGATATTCCATCATGCCATTCATGTGAATGTGTTGTTTCTCTGCTCATATATCCTAGATGTTCGAATGAAGACGAGATGCTCTAGTAAGCTTAGCAACCGTTAGGTTCACTGGGCCAGCTTCTGTAATACCACGGTATATCGTCCCAGTTGACCTTACTTAGTCAAGCAGCGGGTTTCCATGCGACCATGAAGACGTATTGACTAACGAATGTTTTCGATACTCCTCCCTCTGGTCAACATAATTGTAGGACTACCAGATACTATATTCAAATTTGGATATGTCAGTTTTGTCCAAACTTCAGTCCTACAAACAAAAGAACGGTCAAATTTGGTCCAAAGACGTCAGCTAACTGTGGTTGGATCGTTCAGAAGTGATCAGAAGTGCACCGGGCGCTTCACAACGTCAACAAGGTAGATTCGATTGGTTTCTAAGGATACAAGTATGCCATATGTTCAACCTTAAAACTGGAAGTTACTTATGGCCTCAGTTTATAATCTAGCTGACAAGATGCCAACGATTAGCAGTGTAAGCAGGTGAATGGTTTGACAGGTGTCCGTTTCGTTGTTCACTATATACTTCTACTGTAAAATCTGTGACTCTGTGGTGAAACGCCCCTTCCTCAGAAGGATGCGATTGCATAGATCAGTGATTTTCATCAAAGGTTGATCACAATATATGGCAAAGCTATCTCGCTTATTTTTGCCAGTTAATCATGAATAGCAAATAGAGGGAATCCGAGTCGTCGCTCGTCAATCGTTTCACGGTCTGAGCTCTCATAGTGATCACGGAAGATCTATTCTTACCTACTGGCAGGTCCGTGGTTAGAACCTAACCACGGCATCGCGTTTTTCCCCGTCTAGGCTTGACCATCTGGGCAGTGCCCCGTACTCGTGCTTCTCTCTGATGGCAAAGAAGCTATGCACCGAAATGAACGACGATGATGGTAAGTGGTTGGACCTCAGGCACATGTGACCTTGGGGCAAGCGTAGTGCAATCACAAATAAGGCCATGCGCACAAAACGCCGCTGGTTATTTTTAAACGTTTTATAATTGAAGCTATGTTGAATCCCACCCACGAGATCGAACACGTCCTGAAGTGCTAATACGCACGTCAGAATCATGGATCTATTATCAGTAAAACATGGAACTTAGTGATTACTGGACAAACAAAATTAGGATGCCGAAATAAGGACGCGTGTAAAGCATTTCGAATGACAGACGAGTCGGACAAGTAGTCAGACTCTCAGTAAATTGTACTTTCAAATCTGGGGTTTTCCGTTCCCCATAAGTAAGTCGTCCAGAGACGGTTCATGCCCAAAAAACGATGTTTTTTTAGTTCGCTGGACCTATTACCATAGAAAATTTTACCTTTCGAACTGAGAGCAAGTTTGAGTGGGACTCAGCTTAGTCTCCCGCGAAAACCAATTTTGTGTGTAAATGTATGTATGGGGTAGATTTCCTATAATTTCTTTTCAATTAGGACATAAGGTTGACGGAAACTAGGGGAATGATCCTACGGTTAAGTCTCAAGGAGGGAAAAGCTGATCGCGAATTTTCAGAGTTTCAAGTAGCTTAATGAGGAGTGTTTCCTATAATTTTTTTCAATTAGGACATAAGGTTGACGGAAACTAGGGGAATGATCCTACGGTTAAGTCTCAAGGAGGGAAAAGCTGATCGCGAATTTTCAGAGTTTCAAGTAGCTTAATGAGGAGTGTTTCTACGAGAACTTTCATAGTGTCGCCTGAGTCACATTTGTGTTAGATCTTTATGCGTATGAATCAAACACTGACTTAGCTGTTCGAATTCAAACCTCTGTGCTGAGTAGTAAAAAACAATCCACTAAGAAGGCGAATATTGTTGAGGATGCTTCCCAGTGCCTGTCTTAGAAGTATGTGTTTTAAAGCATCATCATATATTTCGGAAGGAGGGTCTGTGGCTCATGGTGTTGTGACAAACCTGCTGAAATGTAGAGACCTACAGATTGTTATTCGGAAGAAGAAGTCGGAGTTACTGCAAAGGATGGTCGCTGTAGAGGGGCACGCTATTAAAGGGTTTCACTGAACGTTCACATTACTTACAGAAAACTATGCTAATTGATGAAATGATAGTTCCAACTTGCATAATAAGAAGGCAGGTGTGAGTACCGGACCACCGACCTTGCACTTTCCTGATTTGTGACTCAGCAGGTGAGCTTCAAGTGTGACTTACAATGCACATTAGAGCACTATCAGTGTCATCTATCTGGCCCTTTAATGATTCATAAAATGAGCCAAACGGGAAAGGTAAACCGCGTCTTCGGTATTTCAGCTGGCAGTGCATATGTGCATCATGCAGAGTGGCCACTGGTGCAACAATGTTCATACTGTGAGTAAACATTTAGATTTCAGACTTTAAGATTAGATTAGCTGTTCAAGGGCGCTCCAAAAAGCAATCCAGCAAAAAAGCCTCCCCAGCAGCTCTCACTTCAGGGACTGTGAAGTTCCAGCACAGTTCAGGTAAATTGAGCCATCACATTATGCGTTTTCTACCCAACAGAACGTCAGGAATATTACCAAACTTTAGCATACAATGGAGGTCAGAACTAGCCTATTGTAATAAATAATTAAAAATTCTCAGCACTGCGATTGTTGGTATCTGAAATGTCACAAAACTAAACAAGGAGGTTCTTTCGAGAGAGTCGCCTGGAACCCAGCTGAATCTCTCGTTTATGATGTTCTCAGGAAACTGAATGTGCTGCACCAGGCCGCCTCATGTTTCAGTCGCTACGATATTCGAGATATCCCGATACATGTATAGCTTTGTAATGTACTACTCATAAGGTTGCTGAAAATCCATTGACAGCCCACGACCGGTTTCGCCCTTCTTGGGGCTCATCAGGTAGGCGCAGTCCCCGGGTTTCCGTCAACCTTATGTTCTACTTGAAACCAAATTGCACGAAATTAGAGAATATACACTCATCTGCAAACTAATTTGGTTCTTTCGAGAAACTTTCGAGAGATTTTCAGCAACCTTGTGAGTAGTACATTACAAAGCTAAACAAGGAGGTTTTAATTAGACCTGTTTTCCCTCATTCAATTTCATAGACTTGTGTGTTCTCATGCTCTCAGAGGCATCCTGCTGTTTGATGGACAATGATGATTCCAGTGCATCCCGTACTGTCACCGGACGAACCCAGTTATGTCCCTGGAGTCTGGCAAGGATTTTCACTGCTGGTACTGCCGTTGACATTTCTCCTAGAAGATCTATTTGAGCAAGCATATTGTAAAGCAACAAATAAGTGAGTATTTCATTCAAAGTTATTAGTTTTTGGAACATACAAACCAAATATATTCACATTTACAATTGGACGCCTACCTACCCTTTCGACGTATCATCTTTCTTAAGTTGTACGCCGATTGCCCACTCAGAGTTCTTACAGGATAATATATATTCGAAGGCTTATACTAAGCTCCTGATAAAAGGTATTAACTACCTTGTTTATCTCAAAAGCAAGTTCAAACTTATGTTAAAATTTGTGATCGACAGTAGAATTATAATATGTTCTCAGGTTCTGCAGCTGATGGCAAAAATACGGTCAGGAAGTCCTAAAATACACTTGTAGTACAGAAGCAACCCTATTTTCCGCGACACAGCATGTGGAGTTTCCGAAATTTCCCGCAATTGAGAACAAATAATTGTTCTAAATTAAAATTGATCTTAAAAATCTAAAATTTTCGCGCTAATGGAAGATATTTCGGTTCGGAAAACCGTCACAAATACTGCGGCGAAATTACAGGACCATCATGGTACACCAAGCTACCAGTTGCATGCTACCTTCTGCCACTTGTGCGGGCCAATCAAGCTCTTAAGAATTTATGCTCCCTCTGGTTGAGCACACGGAGGAACGGATGACTGTGTGTGACAGTTTGACCAATCGCAGGTTTCTACGGTCGTCTATGTTATCTTTTGCTGTAGCGACTGACAGCTAGATGTAAGTCGCGCATCGATTTATCTGGCATGTTCACCGTACTACTGGTCAATTCTTGGCCTCAAATGTTTTTGGCGCTTCCATTTTGAATCCGGCTCCAATTCACACCAACTGCAAACTTAAATTACTAAAATTGCGAAACAACTCAAACCATTGAGTTCAGGCCGGAGAGTAGCGTACCACAAGGACGTTAACTGTTCGGAATGGTGAAGAAGAATAATTCGTCCCTCCGCAAAACGCATTTTAGTGCATGTGGTATCATAGATCAAGTGGCACCACTCAGAAAGGTCACCAGATGTTATCCCAAATTAGGAATTGTCACCACTTTGAAGGAACGACGAAGTGATGTTTTCTCGAAACAGAAAAAACGGCCAACGATTCAACTTGCTTCAACTTCCACCAAGAGTACACTGGACTGACGGGTCTCTAGTAGGACAGTGCAGACAGCACCATCATACCTCAAGTACATGAAACTAGATAAAGGTCTTATCTAATGTGACCTCAGGTTCGGAGATTACTCGGAGAATAATTTTACCTGGACGCATCAGCGGGCCTATCTCATCTTTGGTCATGGAAAGCGGTGTAGTGAAAAAGACTCAAGGAAATATTTTACAGTAAATTTGCACAGACTGAATATTTCTCAACCGAATACATAATGCTAGATGCCGTTTGTTGACTCAGTGTTGCTTACAAGCCCGCTGAATGAGCAAAGCAACTGGAATGCGAAGTTCTGATGCGGATGTTATTACGCTGGACAAACTTTTGGTGCTTTTGCTTACCGGGAGTGGACATGAAACGGTGATACACAGCTACTACCTCACAGGAATCTAGTCTGTGTCTCATGCCATAAAGCTTCTGGGCTGTTTTCACTCACATTGAGAAGACTTGGAGAACATAACCACGCTATGCGTACGAGAATGCTAATTTTTGGCTCCGAGAGTGTGTTTATGAGTGAATGGTGAACTGTGTTGGTAAGGTCTGTTCACACAGAGACTTTTGGGGGCTTATACACAACAGCTTTAGTTACACGTACACCATTTTTCCTTCACCAGGTGCCAGGCCGTTCTCACTGTCATTCAGGGAAGTGCTGTTAACGAAACCTAGAGGAGCCTCTCAAAACTCTCTGATTTCTAGTTTTTTCATCCGTTTTTTCAGTCACCATTATCTGTTTGTATCAGGCAACCCTTTGGGCCGCACGGACAGCGTGAATAGGCTGGATTGCATATAAGCATGCGAAGCACCCGCCCCTTAGGTGCGTCGGACGGACCCAAGAAATCATTTCAGAATAAATCAGATCTACTGCGGTAATCACTCCCACCCTCCAAAGAGTAAGTTAATTGGTCCTGCTACTTAGTATTGTTCAATGTGAGCTGCCGAAAGCCGACTATACCTCTAGTGGAGAAAAGGTTAGTCCCAAAAGAGGGCTTTAGAATTTTCTGTACTCCTGTGTTTGGTCGTAGAATCTAATAACATTTATCATCATGTTACTAGTCTGTTCTGTTTCAAGAATCCGGAAATAGTTGACCTCTCACCATCGTCTCCTATTCCTCTATGTGTGCGTGGGTCACTCGAGCTGACACGTGTTGGTGTGCGGTCATCAGTAGGAAGAGTAGTCATCACCTGGATTCCACTTGACCTCAACCCCTCTCAAACTAAACTGTCGGAACACTCACAACCCCCACAACCCCCACAAAGGAAAATCTAACAGCGGCACCCGAGGCGAATCAAGTGAAACACTCTGAAGTGGAAGATTAAGGAACGAAAAGCGATCGGAACTAATTTGGAACCCTCCAACACATCGATTCAAGATTTTGGCACCCACACTAGCCGACAAGAGCCGTTAATTGACACTCAACACTGATTTAGTCTGAAGAGAACTTACTGATTGGTTCCCCGTCTGTCTTATAACCTGGCCAATTTTGTGACCTGTTCACTTGGCCTGATGAAGCTTTTGTGTCAAAAGCGAAACGTACCAAGATCTTCTGAAATGAAACACAAGAACTATTTCTGACACTAAAAATGCCCACAAGTCTAAATAGCAAGAGCAACCAGTTCACTGCCGCGCTAAACACCTGACACTGTAGACATCCATTGTGCTAGCTTGCGACATCGGCGCTCCTTCTGGATATTCCTAGACTCTGTAGATCGGACAATCTGCTGAAGCTCGTCACAGACGCATTAAAGCTTAGGCTAATGAAGTCAGAGATTGAAAATTAACAAGCATCAACGTTCAAATATTGTATTAGGATTCACCTTTGTCATTCAACTACTGCATTTGCATTTCACCAGGTCTAGTATGTAGCATAAAAATTATGATTTCTCAATGCCACATGTTTTGAAAGCTAATGACCATGGAACTCGCTTACACCACTGTTGCACTGATTAATGCTTCGTCTACGAGTCTGCAAGTCCACACGCAGACAACGAGAATTCCCTCATCCGACAAAGCGAACACTATCCTTATCAATTGCCTTCTCCAGAAAACTAACATGGTTGCGGAGATATTTCCATAACCCATCGATAGTGAGACTTGAGTAATCAACAACTACCAGTAATTTATTGGCCATGACGCTTATGCATTCATAACACACTGATTCCTATACTACTCGACATGAACTATTCCCTAACCAGGACGACCTTGATACACTCAAAACTCGTTACTTCTTCCGTTCGAACCTCTCAGCTGAGTAAACAGACATTTTTATTATAGAAACAACTCAAGCAACAACACAATTTAATTCGGTTTTTTCTTCTCGAAAATCCATCCAAGTAATGGCCATGAAACTCTGAGCGTACATGAAAAGCACTCAGCCTTTTGGTGTCCATAAACCTAGATATGCGCCATCTTGCTACGACCATCGAATGCGTAAGCAGAATAGTTGCGAGGTAATGTTCTGCAAGTTTGTTAGTATAAAAACAAGGAAGAAAAAGCCAAAAATACCTCCTCGGTAAAATATTTGCTTTCCCGGCTTACGAACAAATAAAGCAGTTGGTTTTAAAGAGCAGTATCAGTCGTGTTCCTGGAGCATATGCTGTCGTGCTGCATTCGCGACTAGGTTGTCATATTCTGCTGACCAAGGTTCTGCCTTTTGTAACAAGCGTTCAATACCCTCAATATTGTTTAAATCCGTGTTCATCGAAAAGTTGCTGGCAGGTTTTCGTTGACCTCGTCCGGCATACTGCCCCTCCAATTTACGTCCGTTGGATAAAGTTTCAGTGCTACGCGTCGTTAAAGGTTTTGAGGATATGCGTAAAACGTTGGGCGACGTGGGAGATGGTGTCAAGTGTATCATAAGATAAACAGGCTCACTTTCGTCGTCCTCTTCGTCAAATTGGAGATCAATTGTATCTTTTACATCCACCTTGTCGTACCGCTCCATTTGGTGATGTATAGATGGAGTACTTTTGATAGGCGTATTTCTAGGAGATAGCACGATTTCTTTATTTCGCCCAGTAGAGTTTGCCGTCAGTATTTTCTCATGGCCACCTTGCTGACCAACTTTAACCGCACAAGAAGTGACATAATGCCCATCAAGACCGTTCTGCCTCAGACCGAGTTCTCGAGCTAAATTAATAATGGCTGAAATATCAGGGTTGACGTAATTCCTCAATGTTGCGATGGTTTTGTTGCGATCTTCGAGTGAAAATGAGCGAAATATATGCACTCGTTTAAGTCTTAAATCGAATGTGAAGTAAGCTAAAGCCCACAGCTTATCGTCCGACGGTAACGGAAATATGGCGTGAATGCCGGATTGAGTTCGTTTCAGTACTCGTGGGTTTTCAGACCACCATAAACCCTTATCCAACTTTATTCCATCACTATCGATCTCCATAATTACCATCTCTCCTGATGTAACTTGCCGCTTTCTTGACAAATAGTCCTCGATCTTTTGAGGGTCCAGTATTTCTTCAGCATCTACGCTGAAAGCATCCACATGATCCAGAGGAAATTGATAAATGGACCGCTTGGGAAAATCCTGAGGACCATTCGGCTCGCGACCGATTTTCTCACACTTGAGAATTTTGGGAGAATCCTTTTGATTTTCTCTTTTCTTATCAGGAGAAGCCCGGCAAGTTTTTGACATACTGGTAGGTATTTTGTCACTGTGCTGTTCGCGGGAAATTGGTACATTGTAATCCTCACCACTCAACTCTTGAGACATTGTGTTCTTTCTCTGATTTTCAGACGCTGAGTCGGTGCATGGGCTCATATTCCTTTGTGTTTTCAAATCTTTTATTTGCTTAACTAACAGCTTACGTTCTTCCGGAGTGTCAGCTGCAAACAGACATATTCTTCTTTTATTCGACTCGGGAAATTTATAGTCTAATACAAGTAGGTTGTCCGTAGATTTGCAATAGTCCACTCTGTTGAGTTCATTTATATTCAACTTTTGTTCTTCATCGCGAGGCCACCAATCTCCTCGTTTAAGAGTAAGCCCATCAGGGTGTACCGTCAAAATGTCAAACGTAATATTGTTAGCTTCAAGCCTGTCTTGAGATTGCGCCAGATAATTTTCAATCCTATTTTCATCCACATATTCAGATTTACCGACAACAAATCCCCCCACTTGTGCAACCAGAAATGATCTGGTAGGTATTTTCGTTTTGGCACCTCGTGCGTCATCCAAATACACACTTTGATTCTCGATATTTCTCTCCATACTCGTTGTTTGGGCCTTCAACGCATCCACTCCATTCAAGCTCAATTCCGCATCGACACAGGGTCTGGAAACCGGCTTTTCATCAAATGCAGTCGGGACCGCTTTCAGTTTCCACAACAGATTTGCCAAGCGATTGCACTGTTCGTTGTTTTTTGCCTTGAGCACGTGAATTCTTCTTTGATAAGGTTCTTTTGAAACAATGTCGATGCACAAAACAACTGAACTTCTGTTGGATGATAGATAGGCGTCGTTCAAGTTTTGGTAGGGTAGAACTTTCTGATGCAAATCAGGCCACCAAAATGCCTTACTGGAAGCTACACCTCCTGGACCAAATTTCAAACAAACCCTTCCATGCGTTCTAACAATTGATGCACGTGACTTTGTTTGATCCATCCAGTGGTTGATTACCTGCTGCGTGCATGTTTCATTCGGACCAACCGGAAATGTATCCAGGTGACGAAGTCGAAACTTCTCCTTCCCAGTTCTGTTCTTTTTCGCATGCCTTTTCATCCACTTATGAATCTAATGCCACCAGAAGCAAGGTGGCGGAACACGGTTTTTTATAGTATCTGCCATGGGAGTTTTTTGGTAACACTGGTAGACGGTCTTGCTAATCGATCAGGAAAATGTATCAGAAGGTGGAATTTAAGAGTACTAATGCAGTTCAAAGCACTTTCTAAAACGTACTTGGAGGAACAGTTTGGTGAGAATCCGTTCGTGTGGTTACTTAGGGGTGTGTCTGTACAAGACATTGGATGTGCTTACAAACAACTTACTGAATAGCATTTCGGCATCTGTAAAGCGATGAGCACATGAGAAGACGGTGAACATCAAGACGGTTGCTACCCTATTCTGAAGTGTGCGAAACAAAATCTTACTGATATTATTCGTGGATACTTGCCGCCTGCAGTGAGGGTAAGCTTAATGGTGCTTGTTTTTCCCATTTAGTCGCCTAGCTCTTTCCTGCTTCATTGATTCTAGACCTCTAACTTCAGCTTCTCTATCGTCTCCTTTCCTCACATCCTCTTATCGGAGGCATCCCCATCCTCAGACGGAAATTGCCTATTCGCATGAGTTTAACATCTTACAAACTGCTTACTAATCCTGAACAGGATAGTGTAACCGTCAGGATGGATGCTAACTTTCTAATACCACAATTCTAACATGAAACTGTTTTTACCGTTTTGTTCTTCACTGTGCAGGGTTTGTTAAAATTGCTGCTACTGATGTTGCGTTTCATGTTTTTTCTAGGCTGGGCTTCGAACCAGTCACAACTCTCAAATCCTTCCTAGCAATTGCTTTTCCTTATCAGCAGGTCCCTCACCATGTGAAAACCCAATGAATTTACCAATAGTTTGGCAAAAGTGCGAACAGTGACAGTATTGGGCAGATAACTGTCACCCCATCGCGCCTCCATAGCTGTACATGTCCTCAGTGGAATGTGTGCGAGAGAGCAACACCTCGGGTTCTCATTTCTATTTGATGTAACACCTGAAGTTCCGGAAACGAAACACTGAGGCTAACTTATACAAATGCTAGCAGTCTGTATATCGAGCTTGACCAGCTCAACTTAGTAGCTCTTAGTGCCAGAAGCATCACAACTGTTTCACTTCATTAGCGATGGTACGTCGCTTCCAGCTGCTACAGTTATGGTCACCGGAAAGTGTAAGAATGGGTGAGATGTAGCGGAGCACTGGAAGTGATGACATACTAAGTTAGTTCGTACTGAAGCAGCCTATTCAACTGAGGAAACGTGAAGTTGAACGGCTACGCATTAAAGGTCATAGCTTTGATTCACGGACGCTGCCAACGGCGTGACTGAAGCACGCCTGTCAGTGTTATTGATCATTGATAATTTGGGTCCTAGGAAAGATGTAGTTGTCAACTCCGCTGCCAGGTTGTAGAACGTTCTACTCTCAATCACTTTTGCTCAGCCAAGGGCTGGACGAAAAGGGTGAGACAGGTGGTGCCCTGGCATGCAAACTACATGTCCAATCCAGCGTAGCCTATAGAACCTGTGTAACTCATCCACCTTGGGAGAGTTCCTTTTTTCCTCAGGCCATCTGGCATATCTCACCACTGTCAATCGGGCCTTCTAACCAGACCCAGACAAATCTTTTTGAGCTCCGATGGTCAAACACTGTTAGCTTTTGCACGTCTACTGTGTGTATAGGCCACGTTTCTGGTTCGTAAAGCAGTACAGATCGAGCAGCCGCAGTGTATACTCTGCCTTTGGTTTAGCTGACGTCACGCAGCGAAATAGGCGTCAGGTTTTTGCTTTCAGGTTTCTGGCCTTCCTGATTTAAGGAGCAATCTCTTCTCTAGCCAGTCAACTATAAATTGCACAAGTGCATGTGTATTTATCTACCATATCGATTGGTTGCTTTGCAGGCATGAGGTTTGGGTTTGATCCTACCCAGTCCTTTAGTAGTACCTTACACTTTGTAGGTGTGAAGTGCATTCCAATTGCATCCCCGATGGATTTGAACGGAGGACAGCAATAGTATATGCTCACTCAAAACTTGTAGGCAAACGCTCCCGGACTTGTGTAAATGTGAGTATTTCTCGGACACTTTTCGTAGTTCTATAGATTAATGTCTACTAGTCCAGACTCAGTTTACAAAGGGAGTTGGCAAAAATTACTAAATTTATCAGCTGCACCAATACTCAGACTCCTGTAGAACGCTTTTTTGGTATAGGTGGCCATAATCGTGTTTGACATATCAGTAAACAAATAAAACGCGGTTGGAGTCGTGTGCAGCCGAGCAAAATAGAGGGGCTCGGGCAACTGAGGAAAGACTATCGTCGCTACGACAGTTGGGCGATCACGTTTTTGGAGCAAAACCGAGAACCCAAACAATTAATGGAGTAAATTTGTAGCATGACGTCGAGAAGGCCTAAGAGTATATAAAAATACAGTTATGTGAGAAACCGACCATCAAATAAACCACAAGAGTTGGATCTAATGAAATGAAGACCCTAATAAGGTGAATTAAAGGAAGTATGAGGAAACAATTAGGCCACTCTGATTGCCAGTAATATTGGTATAGCAAACTCGAATTCAACAATAGACAATAGCCAACATTTGGAAATCGGCATTTAGAAACTCAACTGCTTTTGAAAGCCATACCGGTCGGAGTGCAAAGAATTACTTTTCAAATTATGCAACGGCCACAAACCACTAAACACTATCGAGACATGTCCCCTGCCCAAAACCATATCAGACAAAGGCTTTGTTTTGGGAGCAGCCAAGGCAATAAATTGAAACAACAGATTACTATCATGCAGTGCTATGCTGCACCTATTATCGCATGAAGAAACAAAGGATGAGGACCATCCTTCTTGGGCAGCATAAAGTTCGGCAAGGGGAGACTTAAACCGAAGCAGAGTAGCTACTGGTAGTGCGGAGAGGTTTCCGAATTTTCAGTCGAGCTTTCGTCTCGTACGTAGAGTCAGTCCGTGTAAAAAATCTGGGAAGAATTGTACAGCTGCCTCATCTGATTTTTGAAACACCAGCTGTGCGCACTTCACGACCTTCTACAGGTTCTTAGGTTTATAGGCAGAAGTTACGAAAAGAGACGATTGTGATTTGATTAAAAAAATGAATTAATCAAAAACACCTAAGATAAATAGATAATAGAAAAAACTGTGCTTACGAGCATCATGAATCGGTAACACCAATTTAGCTAACCCAGATGTCAACTTCCCCTCAGTGGTACTACTGTTAATGATTCAGAACTGATTACTGCAGCTAAAAGTTAAACTAACAAAATTAATGATGGCGAATGTCCCAGACGAATGCGTAATCAGTGCCTAGCATGAGAGATGATAGTAAATGTTTATATTTATGTTTATATATTTATGCTTATATATATATTCCCAAAATTTCCTGAAATAAATTGGTTTTGCCTCGCCTGGTTTTTCTTACAGTGCTAGTATATGATACAACTTTAAATCAGCTTGGTATCGTATTGCGAGCAGCAAAAATGAGACGTTTTCAGGTCTCACAAACTCTCAAATCTCAGGCTATCGTTTGGAGATGGAAATCGCGGAAGCCGGTGTACTTTGTACCTCTCACATGTCACATGATGTATATCGGGCCATGTTCCAGCTAGCTTAACATTATATGCACTTATTTGGTTAGTTGAAGGGCGTCGTTAACGGCTGTGCGCTGTACCGCGTACCCACTGACCGATTTCCGGTTGTTCGGCAATAGGTTCCTTGATATCTACCTCCAAATAATCATGCTACTGAAGCCAGCGAGTAGTGAGATGGTGCACAAAATCTGATTCGCTTGCCGGTCCCAAGTTAAACAGTTACGCTCATGTATTCGGAAGCTCGTTTTAGGTATATCTCACTTGTTAACGCCAAAACACCCGAACAAATAACTCTGTTGCCGCTGCTCCTGGCAGTCTTTTGCTTTTTGCAAAATGGACTTCAGTTGCAAATGGGTACGTATCAAAAGTATTTTGCTAAGATCAAGTAAAAAGGAGACCATCCAACTGTTTCTGTGAAATTATGCTCCTGGGGATAATGCGTCAGAATGGACCGTTGTGAGGTTGGGGAATATTGACGAGGAAACGTACTTATTCGGAACAGCTGGCTTTTTCACTTATGATGAAAACCACAACATAACTTGGCAGACCACTAGAGGAGAATGAACGATGCTTTCCATATGGAAAAAATATAACTCGCCTTTTTAAAGTAATGGTAAGAAGTGCCCCTAATTGTATTGAGAGCGAGTAGTTGGTGCACCTTTGGTATGCAATACACGTGCGGTTACTCCAGCCTTGAATCGAATGTTTCGTTCAAGTTGATGGAGAGTGCAGAAGGGTACTGAGCGTGAGCACTGCCATCTCCATGTGGCTTCCAAGAGGTAAACATATTTTGACGAGGTTTTGGACTCCCAGTTTGAGGGAACATGGTGTAATATTACTGTACGATGCAATATTTTTAATGACAGATTCTCAACTCGCATGTATTATCCATGTTGAAATGTTATTAGTACCGGGCTCTTGAAATCGCGCTTCATCTTTATTTAAAACGGACAAAGTTGACCTACCAAAGCGGAGGGAAAACCTTTCTGCGCGAAGCTCCTGGAAAACATGCTCAAGCTTTGGGAGGTGCTAAGCTGAACGCTGACCAAATTCACGAGGCTAATCCACAGGTATATACAAGCAATATGCAGCCAGTCACGTCAGCACTCCGATTGTTCTTGCATACCTAACCTTTAATTCCACGAAATATCATTCAAAATACAAGTAAACAGGGCAGGGTAGAGTTCGGCCTGTCCTTTTGCTGACAGACTCGATCTCAGAATAAAATCGATGAACAAACTGTAAACTAACTGAAAATCGGATTGGAAACTTAAGTTAAAATGTTTTATCCAGAGGTCAAGGACTAGGATTGAGAACCTACTAAAATAAAGGTTTTCTACATGATTTGATAGTCATGGTGTAACGGTGGTACTACTGATGGGGAGGCATGCGAGCAGTATGTTTTCTTCTCGTAAATTCGCTATGCGTCTCTTGAAAAGGGAGATTTGTTGCGGAATTTTCGGAGTCGCTTTGTAGCATTTGCTTGGATTTGGGCGGTGAATGATTTGAGTCCATGAACATCCAGGAAAGTGAAAGAAGATGCGTTCAAGAGAAGATGGATGTTCAGCTTTTGTAAATAAGATGTAAATGAAAGTTTTTCTCCCTTATCCAATAGTCTATAACTTGTCACTTGGCATCTGCTAATAAATAACTTCTCAGCGAAGGCCTTCTTCCTCTCAATGGTAGTGGTAATTTATATGGCGGAAAAGTGAGGAACCAAAAGGACAATAGCAGCCGCTTAGACATAAGTGAAGATTCTAGATTGTAAAAAAGCCTGTCCCCTTTCTTCCTAATGAGAATCGAGTGTCTTCTTCGCTGAATGATGTCTGAGCACTAAACTTATTTGGCTGTCGTTGGTTTTTTCGTTGAGCAAACCTAGAGCTAGTAGGTCCGTATGTAACAGAAGTAATTTTGTGTTCCCATGTCACCAGCAAACTAGGGTTGGGGGGAACCTACATCTCATCATTTTTATGAGATCCAAGAGTTATTGGCCAGTTGGAGTTCTTTTTGCGATTTGTCATTTAGCTCCAAAATGCTGACATTTTCTGTCCTATTTAGTGTATATCCTATCTCAAAGTGTTGTTAAATCTCATTTCAAAATTCCCACAGACCACGTTTATTTCAAAGTTCAAGCTCCAGGAGTCACGTGATGAGAGTCCCGGTGTTATCTCCAATGTGATAGGAGTGTTTAAAAATACGTACTACTACAAAGTGCTACTGTGGGCACAAACGAGGAATAGTCCAGGTAGTTTGAGTTCGGCAGTCTTCCTTGTGGGAAAGCCATTGGGACAACAACTTTGCGTCAACGACCAACATTGACAAACAGATCGAGAATTTCTCTTGGGTGAAGTGAGAACAGATAAAAATACACGTAGTACAATTTCGAGTCATAGACACATACGGATCCTAGCTTTCATACATACTGTTGCTCTGAATCCAATTTTTCGCCAACGATGAAACGCGTGGTTCTGACTAGCTCCTAGCCCTTTCTTCCCCTCTTCTAACTTCTACCAACTGAGGTTTAAAGTATTTTGATTCCTTGAGGGCGGTCATTCTGACATTCACATGGCCGTATCGAAGTTGACACATCAATATCAGATTCTACCACTGTATTCTGGTCGTTGTTTTCAAGATCATCACAGGATTTTTTGTCAAAACATAAGTATTCATCTGAGTGCCAATTATAAAAGCTGAGAATTTGTTCTGTAGAACTATTTCCACTAATGAGAAACTGGTTACTCTTCGGTTACATCAATGTATTAAGTGCCCACGGCGCCATTTTTGAATATGGGTTCAGTAGGGCATATATGAATAGTCGACATGTTGACATTATCCAGATTGGTGTTAATACAACCTACTACTTTCGAATATGCATAACGTAGATTTATTAATACACTTTCACAAACTGTTTGGAAATTGAGGATGTTGATGTATCATCGCTATGTATGTAACATGGCCGAGCCACCGCGAAAGACACCCTAGTTTCACTGCATTTTTCTGCAATCGTCCATTTTTTCACTTGTCGTCCAGGACAACGCTTTTCAGGGTGGCGATGGACAGTCGAGTAGGGCGACGAATGGAATTTTTCCAAGTGACTGGCTGTAAAGAACGAGTGGACTTCGAACTCTACTGTGTTCCTCCTGTAATGTTCGAAGTTTCTTTAAGTTGTTTAACATCCACTTTCCGCACCACATTAGACTGACGAAATGGACCCTGGTCTTTGTTCTAAATCGATGAAGGGAGGAAGGCTGCCCCACTTTCCATGGAACAGTAGTCTAATCCTGTAGATGCCTATTTCGAAGAGATTGTTGTCGAGCTTAAAGTTCATGTGGATGTCAATCATGGTGGCCCAAACACTGAAAAACTTTAATGTACGACTAGTGGTGAGGAGCCTGTTGGTCAACCCGAAGCACGAATTTATCATCCTTTTGGGGCAGAGATTTTTCTTAGAGGTTTTTAAGGTGCTTTTTGTTGAGTGCTGTCGGTTTAAAGGAGAAATATCATTGGAACGGATCGAAACGGTGCACCACGATCAAAGGATATCAGATCAACCCCCACTGCAGGCTCCATTATTTGCCTCTCACCTGATTAGGCAAAAGGATCCAATAAATAAAACGGTCCCATCCGATATCGCGTTCTGAGCATTAGTGGCAAAACTTACTGAGACCCACTTTATTCGCAAGTTGAAGCCATTTCTGTATGGGTAGAAACGACCCTGGTCTTGTTCTAAATCGATGAAGGGAGGAAGGCTGCCCCACTTTCCATGGAACAGTAGTCTAATCCTGTAGATGCCTATTTCGAAGAGATTGTTGTCGAGCTTAAAGTTCATGTGGATGTCAATCATGGTGGCCCAAACACTGAAAAACTTTAATGTACGACTAGTGGTGAGGAGCCTGTTGGTCAACCCGAAGCACGAATTTATCATCCTTTTGGGGCAGAGATTTTTCTTAGAGGTTTTTAAGGTGCTTTTTGTTGAGTGCTGTCGGTTTAAAGGAGAAATATCATTGGAACGGATCGAAACGGTGCACCACGATCAAAGGATATCAGATCAACCCCCACTGCAGGCTCCATTATTTGCCTCTCACCTGATTAGGCAAAAGGATCCAATAAATAAAACGGTCCCATCCGATATCGCGTTCTGAGCATTAGTGGCAAAACTTACTGAGACCCACTTTATTCGCAAGTTGAAGCCATTTCTGTATGGGTAGAAACAGCTTTGCGTTGCGTTTTTACTACTCCCGTAATCCGTGGAACGGTCCTATTACGTGCTGGCTCCTCCTTCCTCTCTATTTGTGCTTGATACTCTACGGCGCATATCTAATGAAACACAGAAATATGAATCACTTCAAAACTGACCATGTTTTGTGCCTAAAGCTTTGTGAGTCACACAAAAGCACTGACACCAAGCAAATCCCAAAGGGAGCACAGAGAAATGGGCTGCTGTCGCCTCTAAAGAATACTACAGAATAATGTCGGATAAATGGACAAAGCAGAGCAAGCTGCTTTACCGTCTGGATGTCGGATGTAAATAAGTATCAACGATTTGATCAATACTCAGTGTTTACACTATTCGGACTTCCATCTTGTGACAGCACTGCGTTCAGTACACTGCAGCACCTTAATTTTGGTGTTTCTGTACAGGATAAAGGACTTAGCTAACGGATCGATCTGATGCCCACTTTCAACTAAATGACGGGATATTGATGAAGATGGTATCGGCCTTTCAGTAGCCACCGTATTCGAATCTATATTTGGACTTTGTGGGTGGGATTGCTTTATGCGTTGCTGTATCTCAATGACCATGTGTTCCGACTATCTGGGTCCTAGTTGCCTTCCAGGTCCATAAATGTAGATTGCCGAGCACCCACACTCCAAAAGGTGAGCAAAGGTGAAGATGACATGTCCGGATAGTGGTAGTTGATTGCAAAACTCGGGATTCAGCTGCTGTTGTACATGATTCCAGGTTTGGTAGCATAGTAATTTCATTCCAAAGCCTGGATTAGACGCAGTTCCACTAACTCCACCTGTTTTGAGACTGAATAAATCCGGACCTTGTTTATCTGAAGTATGCTGTTTTTGGTGAAATACGCCCATTTGCAAACAAATTTGTTTATTCCATAGACTCACCTGGCGTGTCGGTACAAAACTAGCGAAACGGAAGTAGTGAATGATCTAAATGTGTTTTAGTTGAACTAACCTATGGAATACTCCGTCATATTGGGGGGTCAGCTGGATGTCGAGAAAGGAGACTATGTCACACACTCCACGTTTGACTGCTAACTTAATGTTTGGATGAGTGGTGTTCAGTGCCTGGAACAGTCCTGTCTGTCCTGTGATCATCAACATGTCATCTGCGTATCCTTTGTAGCATTTCACCCGCGAAATGGAGTTTTCTACTCGCATTTCAATGCAAACCATGAAAATGTTAGCTGGGACAGAATAAAGTGAACATTTCCAAAGCTATTTCCAATGTTTGCCTTGGATGCTGTGATTGTGCAAACAGGAACGGACGTTTGAGTTCGATCGCTGCTACTTCAAGGTTGATGGTGGGGGAGAAATCACATTTGATTCATACGAAAATGTGACATCCAAAGTTGCAACTTGTTGAACCTGGACGTTAAACTGCGCTGCTGATGCTGTATCTGCTACTGTATCTCAGGGTGTGGGTGTCCCGGTGTATCGTACAACAGCCCATTTCTTGGTTTTTCTTCAAGGTTGAAAAGGATAAGTCTTGTTTGAAATTTCTCAAAAATCCAGCGAATCGTCAATTTGCTACAGTGTAATGCTACTCCACTGGTTGCGGGTGCTTTTGTTTTTCGAACACCATTATTATCACGGCATATGATTGTTAGAAGAGAACCACATACCTATCCATTTGTGGGATATGACCCCGTGGTGGCTTACTGTATATTTCGCGAAATCTCTTGCTTCAAATGAACGCTAACATGTTCATTCATATGACGCACGCGCACTCCTAAGCACATTCAAATACAGTTGTGAGTAACTATTCCTTCATGAATAATTTTCTGACCTTCAATGACGGAAGGCCTGGTTGTTAACTTCATGTGCTGTGTATCGGTAAGCTCGAGACAGTTCAAAGGCATGATACGGACAGTCATTCCCACGAACAATGGCAGATGGACGCACTCGACTCGAGAGAAAGATGTTGAATGCGATTTTCGAGAGGCCAGTCCCAACGTCACAAAAGCCAACACATTTCTCTTCACCGACACCTTCCACCGTTGACTGCAGTGCCATTAAACGAAATCAGAAGGCATCAGTCGGGGATATGCTTTACTTAGGAATGGACTCGTGTGATGTTACAAACGCAAGGAGCAAATCAGTAGGAAAATCGACCAATCATTTGAAGGGAATACAGGCTTACGGTGTAGCGGACTTACCCAATCATGAACAGACATCATGCAAGTAATGATTAGCTGATCAATGGGCAAGCCAACTGTTCATCATGTATACCTTGTCTAAGATGACACACTGCAGTAGGAGGGCTCAAGCAGTAGAAGTGATGCATTCGGACCTCGTTATGGGCGTCGCATGGATCGTCGTCGGCGCATCCTAAACTGACACCTCAATAACTTCTTGGTTGAACCGAAAAATTCGAATACCTAAGGACAGTAACATATTACCCCTAACATCTCGTTTATACAGTCTTGCTACTGTTCTGGCTTTTCTATTCCCGTGAATCCATACCGAAGTGGGGAATACTGGACCCGAGCTCTGCTCTTAATGGAGCTTACCAATTGTGCATATTTGACCGTGTCGGGATTTGGACTCCGATTGTCTGAAACGCATGACAAGTGTGTTGACAGTGACCCACCAAAGCACGCTGGATGCATCTGATCCTTTACGTCTGAACAGGTAAAAGTGTTCACACCTCATCAATGTGAATGGTTTGCCCGACGTGAGGGATCTGAAGGACAGAAAGCTCGTGAAGCGGATTTAATCACGCTAAGGCACGATGTGGTTGGTTCTCTCACAAGTTTCGCTCTAACTGAGAGCCGTCGGGTCGACTAAGCAGTGTCGGAAGAGAGACCACGTAGCCACTGACCAATACTATGCGGAGGCAGAATATGGTCTATCTCGTGAGTGGGCGTTTGTTATAATAATCCCTATATTAAACGATCCCCATAGTTGGTCCGATAGTCATCATGCCCTAAAGACATGAAGCTGAAGCCGCTAACTGTAAATTAAGAATGTGACTACTCCTGACGACTAATTCAGTGTGAGTTCCGTCCTGTTTGGAACTCACCTTCTGGGTGCTTCAGGAACGCGGTGTCCGTTTTACTGTGGGTTTACCATTTTCATCGAAAACCATGGCCGCATAATGCTCTAGCGATTGGTGAAAACTGCTAGCCACAAAATGATTCGGCTGGTTCCGCTATTTCCGCTTAGCAAGATCCAATCAGAATAAAACGCTTGGAGTAGCGCTTTTAAAAAGTATGGAACTCCAGCGTTTTACTCAGGAGAACTAGGACAACCGACATCTGTAAATGATAACCTGAACTACCTGCTTAATCAGGAGAAATGCACGTGCTGAGAGTATGGCGGTCTTAGCTGGAGTTGGATGGGACTTCTACTTTATTCAATGAAAAGCCTGTTTGTGAACTGGAGGAAGGTGTTTCTAAACGGAAGTCTTAGAACGGAAACCTTAAGGGAGATAACGATGTCCTTGTAATGCTCACTGTAATAAGATACAGATGTTTTGTTGACAGCGGTTAGGCAAATAAGGAGGCAAAAATCCATCAATGCATTCACCAAAATACATTTTGCAATCAGTCGACTATCGAATCAGCCGTTGCTGTTCGATCACCGTGTCTATAATTTTTACACAAAATGAAGTCCGCTTACGCGATGGGTAATGAAGATGGAAAGGCACAATAACTTCCACGCACTTCCACGTTCATGCGCGAGCGTCAGTCAAATGATGATAATTCGTCTGGTGTTTCATGAGCCGACAAACCGTTTTACACAACCAGTAGTACACCAGTGTAGAGATTTTGTTTGAAGGCGAGTTCCTCTACGGGTGCGGAGTATCATCGATTACTTGGTTAAGCGGTGATGGGAAAGTGATCACAATAAAGGTAAACCGGTCCTCGATCACTGACAAAACTGCCGAATCTGGGGTGCTGATCCACATGTGTCAGTTCAGCCCAATTTAACCCCGGTTGATAGTCAGCTTGGTGGTGCACCGGGGCGGAACGGAGGTTTGCCGTATCATGTCTGCTTGTGGACTTGTTCGGCACACAGCGCTGAAGGCTTTTGGCAGACCGGAGATCAGACACCCCTTGCCTGTGATGCTCTTGCTCTACCGAACTCTTCTGTGTATTGCGTTCATCGTCCGATCTTTTTGATGAACTGAAACTCGTTTCTGATGAGCTTTTATTCGAATGCGACAAGAATTCCAGTTGAGTATCATTTGAAAGTCCTAGACTGAGGTTCGGATCTTCTTCTCCGTCAAACTGGACCGCAGTCACACGATAATCATGTCGACAGAGAGATTTTAATACTCGAACAAATTTCTCACGGTGACATCCGGAGCGTAGAAACACAAGGATGTATTGTTTTTTGGACGGATCAAAACGTGACTGAACTCCAATGGCCAACAAGGAAGGAATTGCGTGAAACGAAATGACGCCAGTAATTTCCGTTATCAGGAGACCTTTTATGGTGGAAGAAGGCCACCACGCCGCCCCGCGCATTCGTAGTTCAATTTCAGACATTCGGAGTTTGGCCCATGGTTGATTACTTAACGTATTGTTCAACTGCTCCGTCTGTCTCTGGTCGAGAACTCCATGACTGAACTTGTCGGTTGGTAGCAGGGTCACATACTGGACTACCTGAATTGCACATTTGAATATGCACTTCTGTCTCATTATGCAGGGGAAGTGAAACGAAATGAGGTGCGTTCATCAGATCCTTCTCGAAAATAATGACTACATATTTGTGACTTCTCACTAATGACCACCTACTGAGAGCATTGACCTCACATTCTACAACGATTGGACAGTCAGAGTTCGGACTTATTAAAGCCCGTAGACAAACACGTTCTCTGCTAATTGGCTAAGTTGACCTCATCGAAACTGAACTTTTAGGTCTTGTTACCTTGACGACCTCTCTGAGATGCACTGACAAAACTAACGATTTGAACTCTTTTGTCGCTTTGCTCATGTTTTGATGACCCCCTGGATAAATTCGAGTATGGAAATCACATTACATACCACTGCTGAAACAGAGACATTTTCAGAACAACTTTAAACCATAAGACGGCCTAATAATGGTCTTTAAGCAGATAATATATTGTGAGTTGGCTACATTAAATGTGTCACACCAGCGTCTACAGGAAAATTAGGTAGACCTAGTTTAAGATAGACAATAACGTTCGGATGGATCAGTGAATTATCTCACAAAGAAAAAAAACAATAAATTGTCTCACTCATGAATAATCGACAGCAACAACCCAGCGGAATGTACCTGAGGTCCCCGTTTTGAACAATATTCATAAAGGAAGAACATCGTCCTTTAAAACACCTGTCTTGTCTCACTCATGAGTAATCGACAGCAACAACCCAGTGGAATGTACCTGAGGTCTCCGTTTTGAACAATATTCATAGAGGAAGAACATCGTCCTTTAAAACACCTGTGCTCTACACTCCTTGATATCTCTCAAAATTTCTCCCGTTGTTTTGCAAGGATAATTGCTCCTCTGGGAGAAATTTATTTGGGCTGAACGCTAAAGACATTCAGCTGTCTTCATGTGAGCAGATAACAATTAGGTTGTAAATTTCTGTTGGGAGTTTCAAGCGTAAGATGAGAAACCAAGCGGCGTTTATGTTGGAAAATTTTCCCAATAGTGTGTCGTTGTCATTCATTTACTCAGGTTAGATCCACAGCACAGTGAGCACGGAGATGGAGGACTGCAGTGCAGTAAGGTGATTGAGATTACCTAGCAAGAAAGCAAAGATATAGTATTGATAGTGTTTGTCTGCTCACGAGAATTGGGCAGTGAACTCATCGCACCCAGCCCCATACTGGCAACAATCCTTATAAGAAATTTTTGTCCAAAAAGACTAATTGTCAGATATTGCGTTTCAACTGAGAGTTGGACATAGAACTTTGAAAGTAGTTGAAGTGCTGCGACCGCTTCTTGGTCATCAGCTTCTTATCACCAGCTATAACAAGCTTGCTTGGTGGATAGCTCTTGAGCAGAATCTCATTTTAAGCGACATCCTCATACACTGCGAAGACAAGCGCTTGATGTACGAACTTTTGTTTACTTTCAATTTCGTTGGAGACATACTCGAATGATTTCAGTTGGGTAGGATAGTGCCATCAGAGTGAAAACTTTGTAACGGGCTCACAACGTTGGTAAGACAAGCTACACTCCAGTGTATTTCACTTAACCAGCTGTTCCTTGTGGCGGAACTAATAAATTTGGGAAACCGTTTAACTACTTTGCTCCTGAATGAACGTGTTTTGTTTCTTGTGATTTCATCCTGAGTCACAAATTTCGTGTGAAACACGAGAACAGGTCATTGGTGAATACGTATGGGATTTAGACCAAAATTTCCTTAATTTTTTTTCATGCTTCTATACACATATCAAAATATGAGCCAAACGGATATAAAGGGGCCCTGTTCCAAAAGCTCCAACTTGCACTTGAGGCTTTAAATTTAGAGTATGATCATTAAGACAATAACTGTTATGATCCTCCTCTCTAAGTTAGCAGCATTTTTCATCATACCAAACCATGAGGCAAAACTGTCTAAATTATTTTATATTGTTTGCACTTTGACAGCAGCACATCCAAGAAGGGCCATATCGACTTTGTATCCGATATCTGTGGGCCAACCCCCTGAAAGCATTTTGACTCCACGAGAAGTGAAATCTGTGTCACTCTTTCATGATAACATCGATGATAGCCATACAGAAAAAAGTATACGTTTTATATCTTTGTAATGTACTACTCATAAGGTTGCTGAAAATCCGTCGACAGCCCACAACCGGTTTCGCCTTTTTCGGGGCTCATCAGGTAGACGCAGTCCCCGGGTTTCCGTCAACCTTATGTTCT